AACCAGATTAAACAGTCTCTTTTTAAAAATTACATCTGTAATCACTATAATCACTAAGTAATATCTTTATATGGAAATATTTTAGCATCTAGTTTCTTATCAGGACCTAAAGGATTGAGAATCTCTAAAATCATAATTTTATTGTTTCTATTGAAGATGCTTATATTTTTTGGTGTTGGGCATTTTTATAATACTACAGAGATCCTAGTTTTCATAGATTCATAGATTCTAGGACTGGAAGGGACCTCGAGAGGTCATCGAGTCCAGTCCCCTGCCCGCATGGCAGGACCAAATACTGTCTGGATCATCCCTGATAGACATTTATCTAACCTACTCTTAAATATCTCCAGAGATGGAGATTCCACAACCTCCCTAGGCAATTTATTCCAGTGTTTAACCACCCTGACAGTTAGGAACTTTTTCCTAATGTCCAACCTAGACCTCCCTTGCTGAAGTTTAAACCCATTGCTTCTGGTTCTGGTTTTGTCATAGCTGTCAGTATTATGAGCTGTTAATGAAAGGAATTTAGGCAAAGACAAGTTCCTCTGAAAAGACCCCCAGTTCAGGAAGGTACTGAAGCAGTTGCATAACTTTAAGAACGTGAGCAGTTCCATTGATGTCAGTGGTAAGTCTCATACTTAAAGTTAGGCATCTGCTTCAGTACCTTCCTGAACTGAAACCAAATTGCTGTTCATGACCTTAGCAGTATTAAATGATTCAGATAACTATGATTGGTAATTTAGGACCTGACTCCTACCATCGCCACTCATATGAGTAAGCCTTATTCACTCAAGTAGTCCATTATCTTCAATGGGATTCCGAAACCAAAAATTACTTGTGTGAATAAGGATTTAAGGATCAGGCTCCTGGGCTTACTCAGAGTCCTATTTCTTACAAACTGTTTTTCTTCCCCAAAATCTGCACACAATACTCTACATCCTGATTACATTATCCACACATTTGAAAGATCTGTACATAATTTTTTGTACATCTGTGAACGTTCCATGTGGTTACATTTATTAACAGTGAAATGTGCCCTGTTATTGATTTACAATATGAATGCACTTCTATGACATTCTAATGGTGAAAAAATGTTACTTGAAGGTACTCAAGCTGAATTTCCATTTCTGGTAAAATAAAGCCAAGTGCACGAATGTCAGCAGACTTGTTTATAGGTCTGCTTTGTGAAGCATATATTATTTAGAACATTGAGTCAGGAGGCTGGCTGTTTGTAGGGATTGTCATGTTACATCTGCCATGTCAGTCAAAGCTCAGGCAGCTGTTGCCTGCCACTGGTGTTCTGGTGTGGCATTGTCCATCTTTCAGCACTTAACAGTCAGCAGCTCTCTCTCAGCTGTGCACTGCACAGACCTACACACATTTTCAGTATTGTCTGTACAGCCCCATTAATGTTCTTTTCAGGTAGAAGGAGAATAGTACATGTCCTTTTTCATCTTGGTAGTGCGGCTTCTTTTAGATACAGCCCTTCTTTTGGATAACAATTACAATTGGTTTAAAGAAATACCGGTATGCTTACGAGAACAACAATAATGATGCTGATAAAAATTGCATTTGCTTTGATACTTTACGTTGTTATCCAGCCAGTTAAAATGCTTTAGAAATAGTAAAGTGACACCAAAAGTTGAAATCTGTTGATTGCGTTAAAATGAATTAACGGGGATTCAGGGGCCAGTGCCTGTCACTGAATTCTTGGTTTTAGTGGTTTTGCAGCCACATTTTCAAATTTGTTTTTTATTTGTTTGTTTTTGTTTGTTTTATGCTTTTCTCTCCCTTGTTACTGTGTGAAAGAGCCACATGAAGAGGGGAAGCTGATTGACACTGACTACAGGCGGGAAGCTGTGAAATTGACTATACTCAAAGTGCTATCAAAGGCAAAAATAACCTGAAAAATACAGAAAATAACTTTATCTAATAATTTTCAGATGTAATAATCTTAGGTGTTACTTGAATCTAGAAAAAAAATAATTTAGGAATATAATTTATAAACCCACAGTATCCCTTTGCTTAAGCTACCTCTGTGAAGTAGGGGACATTATCCACATTTCAGCTGAGAGGGAGACACTGGCCATGTCACATAGTAAATCAGTAGAAGAATTGGGAATAGAATTCATAAATCTTGATTTCCTGTTCTGGGGTGAAGTCCTGGCCCCATTAAAGTCAATGGGAGTTTAGCCACTGACTTCAGTGAGGCCATTTTACCTTTATTAATATTCCTTTGTTTTCATTTTCTGAAAGAGAAAATAAGTCATTCCCATGATTAATATCAATTTAAGATTTGCAACATTGTATAGTAATTAGATTGAGATATATTTATCTCTTCAGCCCCTCTCTGAAAATGATGTAGCTATACCATAAACACAAAAGCATGCACTAATAGCAGTTGAACAGAGGGCACATTCAGTTGCATCATCAGAAGTGCAGTGTCTTTGGTTTCAAGGGAGGAAGTCAGTGATTCACACATTAGCTTATCTTAATGGCAGAAAACTAGACAAAGATACAAAGATAGGCCACATAAGAGGAGAGCTATCCATTATATTGTCAAGTAGACCCCCTCCGGTAGAAGAAAAATAATACTTCATGCTGAACAAAATACTTATCTCAATTGTGCCTTTAAGGCACAGCCCCTGCATTGGGAGCAGAGTGGAGGTTACAGCTGCAGGGGAGTGCCAGAATGCATTGTCCCAGACATGCGGGAAGAAAGACAAGATGCAAGGGATGTGGTTTAATTAGGCCACAACTTTATTAACTTAATTCATCTGGGAACTATATGGCAATAATTCATACAGTGCTGATCATGATTCCATCCTTAATCTTTTCTACCTATTGTAGGACTGCCGACCCTCCACAGCTGGTCCCCAGCGCCCGCACCTTGTTATGGGGCTGGGGAAAGGCCATTGTCTCCTCACTGTACCAGATGTTAGGAGCCCAAACCTGTTCCCAGCTTCTTTAGGGTATGCCTTTCCCTAACTTCATTTCCAGTTCCAGTTACGAGGGAACCAGACCCCCTATGAAATAACTCCTACACTGGACACCTGCTAAGTTGTGACAACTAAAACCTTACTTCCTGACTTACCCCAGGGTCCCTGAGCTGCTGTGTGTAAGGCCATTTAAAAAAAAAAACACCAACCATCCAGCCCTGGTCAATCTGGCAGTGAGGGAAAAATTCCTTTCCAGTCCCAAAAAAGGTGACTTGCACTATGTCAGCAGCAGACCACAAACCCCAGGGATATGTGGTGCTCATCTGGGTGCAAGGGGAGATTGAGTTTATATACCTTCCCACAGGTGTTCAGGGCCAGTGGCTTACTTGAGCCCTACCGGCCTCCCCACCAGCTCAAGTGATGCCTTCCCATCCAACTCCCAAGGGGAATGGAACCATTAAAAGAGCTACTACCTTTCTTTACCCCATCAGTCCAGACAACCCACACCATCACCAGTTGCATTATCTTGGGGGTGGGGAGGTGGACTGCCTCCTATAGCTCCCTGTTGTGCAGGGGATGTGCCTGTTACTACACCACTTTGTGGAGTGCAGCATATTCCGATTCTTCCTCCATCCTATGTGCAGGTTCTGTTCTACAGGTTGGTGCAGAGGTGTGGGATAGGGCCATGAACCCTGGGGGTGGAGAGTGGAGGGAGCAGACCCCTGTGATTCCTTGAGCGCAAGGACTGCAGTTGTGCCTGGCTGCTATGAAGAACATGCAAGGGAAGAGGAAGTCTTCATGTTCCTTCCCATTGCCCTAGTGTGCAACTTCATAAAGGACAGGCATAATCAAACCCCATGTGAATCCTGAACTAGTAGAGTACTATTTGGTGAAAAAAGTCTATTTACTGAACACCAAGACCAGGCAATTAAGAAACATCTGTGGTGAATAGTTTTAAGAAAAGGACAGATTGCTTCATTTTATAAACATAATATTCCATTATTTTTCATAATAGAAAAAGTATTTAAAGACCGCTCGTTTGAATTTCTCATCCTGTTATTGATATGAGGATATTTAGTCATTGTCACTGCTAAAATAAATGTTATGTAAGACACAGCATAAAAATGTATGCTTTGTTTGTGAGCATATTCATCAGCTAATTCCCTTCAATATCTATGCATATAAACTAACTATGCTGTTGTGCATTGTGTATTCAAAACCCAAGAACTATGGTCAGGGTGTTTGTATCTTTATTACTGAATATAATATATTTACTTTCAGTTTTAGATAATTAAGCCAACATATGCAGTTTCTTGATTTGATGGACTAAGAAATACATCAGTCAAATAGTGACCCTTGTGTGACTTTATTCTGTTAGTATCTGAACACTTAATTATAATTGGCCAACTTTTATATGTAGCTCATAGACAACAGATTATTTTGTAAAGCTTTTTCATCCTCTTCTTTAAATTATAAAATTCAGAACCAGAAAAAATTCTTTGTACTTCTGTAAGATTTGCAAATATTATCTTATCTTCACTGTATTTTCGTTTTAATTGAATTAATTAAAAGTCACATTAAAAGAATTACAAAATGATGAAATTTTCACTTTTTGAAGGAGTGTTCATAGTAAATTGCATTTTTTATGTAACTAATTAATTTTGGGATAAAATGAATCATCATGAATCTAGGAAATCATTTTGGAAATAATAGGGTTCATGGATAGCAAGTCCTAAAGTTCAGCCTGAGAAGTGGATTGTATTCTGAACCTTGTATTCAATTATTCATATTTTTTAGAAAAAGTTATTTTAGACTCAAACTTTACATGCTTGGCCTCAGCCTGAAAGTGAATTGAGAAGTGCAGAATGTTTGAGTTATGCTAAGATGAAAGAAATAAGCTTTTCTTACTGTTACTTTTTAAAACAAGGTGTTTTTGTGCATGTAAGAGTTCAAAAATAGTTTGAACTTTTAAACTTGGCAAGATTTCAGTCCTCACTGATGACTATATAAATATCTCTAATGATCTTACAGGTTATTGTCTTTTTTGTTTTAATTCTCAAGGTTTTTAACTTTCATTGGAGGAAACGCAAATGATATAGGAAAACCTGATATGCAACAAAAAGTAAATGCTGTACTTCAAAAAGAAGGAATAGAAGGAACAGCAAAAACACTAAATACAACAGTACATACACTGCAAATAATCATTGATGGTCTGACTCAACCTGAAGGCTTTGACATCCGAACAGGTAAAAACTGAATGCTTTGCTTTATAAAGGTAGTTTTGTTGTAGTCTGGAATTTAGAATGTTCTGGGTTTCATTTTTAAACTGCAAGTTTTCTTCTAAGCTAGCAGTAGATTTAGTGGATGTGTAGGTCAACTGACTCCCTCCCTTCATCCTGTCGAACAGAGAAGAATGTACTACAGCATGCAGTCAGTCAGATAGTATTTGCTGGCTCGGTAATTAAGGAGTGTGAATCCTGTCTTAAATCATGACCTTTTGAGCCATAGGAAGGTGGGCTGCATGGCTTTTAACAGATAAGACAGTTGTAATATGTTGACTATACTGATTAAATCTACTGTTGGCTATTGTGGGAGAAGCATGAGCCGACTAAAAACACTAGTAATAAAGATCTATGGAATAGCAATATAAAATTCTGATTTATTAGAAGTTTGGGTCACACACTCCTCGGAGAAAAGTTTAATTGGAGTACATGGCTCATGACCCACACTGGTTAGATCTTCACAGCAGTGCAAAACAGTTTAAGGTGGGGGAGAGTGAGGAAGACGTAGGAGTGGAGGCGGCTATATCAGGAGGTGCAATTGTTCAATGAACCTTACAGTGGATACGCTCTGTCCTCTCACAACTGCAAGAGATAAAGGTAGGCAACAAAAATACATGCGTGTAATAATAAATAGTAGACTGATGCTAAAATATATTTCCACTCTCTCAACATTCTTTGTTTTGCTTCATGGCTTCATTATAGTTATTTATAAATGCAGCCCACTAATGATCCTGGAAACCCATTTCCTATCTTGTAGTAATTTAATTCTGGATCTCTAATGTCTAATTTTCAGTGAAATGGAATATCTAGCCATAAACGTAAAAATACATTGTGTTACTCAACACCAAAATAAATGACAGTTCTTAATGCAAACATTCAGATTTTAATGCACGAATGGTAGTATAATGGTGGAAGATTTTTGGAACAATCTGTAGTAGACAAGGCCTGTGCCTGGAAACTGTGCTAGTAGCAATCGTGCTCAGAAATGGTTTTCTTAATATAGATAGGAATTTTGTTTGTTTTGAATTGAACTAACTCATTATTAAAATTTTTTGAACTGAACTAACCCATTGTTAAAAATGTATGCCTTAAGAAGATAAGAATGGCCATACTGGGTCACACAGGTGGTCCGTCAAGCCTAGTATCCTGTCTTCTGACAATAGCAGTACCAGATGCGTCAGAGGGAATCAGCAGAACAGGGCAATTTATCAAGTGATCCATCCCCTGTTGTACACTCCCAGCTTCTGGCAGTTAGCTGTTTAAGGACACATGGGGAGCATGTGTTCGTGTTCCTGACCATCTTGGCTAATAGTCATTGATGGACATATCCTTCATGAACTTATCTAAATTTTTTTAACCCAGTTATTCTTTTGGGTTTCACAGCATCCCATGGCAATGAATTCCACAGGTTAACTGTGCGTTGTGTGAAAAAGTACTTCCTTTGTTTTTAAACCTGCTACCTATTGATTTCATTCAGTGATCCTTGGTTCTTGTGTTATGTGAAGGGTATATAACACTTCCCTATTCACTTTATCTACACCATTCATGATTTTACAAACTTCTATCATATCCCCCCTTAGTCATCTCTTTTCTAAATTGAACAGTCCCTGTCTTTTTAACTTTTTCTCATACAGAAGCTGTTCCATTTCCTTAATAATTTTTGTTGTCCTTTTCTGTACATTTTCCAATTCTAACATATCTTTTTTGAACTGGAACGACCAGAACTGCATACAGTATTCAAGGTGTGGGTGTAACATGGATTTATATAGTGGCATTATGATATTTTCTGTCTTATCCCTTTCCTAATGGTTCCTAACCTTCTGTTAGCTTTTTTGACTGTCACTGCATATTGAGCAGATGTTTTCAGAGAACTATTCATGATGACTCAAAGATCTCTTTGTTGAGTGGTAAAAGCTAATTTAGACCTCAACATTTTGTATATATATTTGGGATTACATTTTCCAATGAGCATTACTTTCAATTTTTAACATTGAATTTAATCTGCTGTTTTGTTGCACAGTCGCCCAGTTTTATGAGATCCTTTTGTAACTCTTTGCAGTCAGCTTTGGACTTAATTATTTTGAGTAGTTTTGTATCATTTGCAAACTTTGCCTTCTCACTGTTTACCCCTTGTTCCAGATTATTTATGAATATGTTGAACAACAGTGGTTCCAGTACAGATCCTTGGGGAAATCCACTCTTTACCTCTCTTCGCTGTGAAAACTGACCATTTATTCCTACCCTCGTTTACTATCTTTTAACCAGTTACTGATCCATGAGAGGACCTTCCCTTTTATCCCATGACAACTTACTTTGCTTAAGAGCCTTTGGTGAGGGAGCTTGTAAAAGGCTTTTAGATAGTCCAAGCACACTATTTCCACTGGATCACCCTTGTCCACGTGTTTGTTGACCTCCTCAAAAAATTCTACTAGATTAGTGAGGCATGATTTTCCTTTACAAAAGCCACGTTCACTCTTTCCCAAAATATTGCGTACATCTATGTGTCTGATAATTCTATTCTACATTTTCAACCAGTTTGCCTGGTACTGAAGTTAGGCTTAGTGGTCTATAATTGCCTGGATCGCCTCTGGAGCCTTTTCTAAAAATCAGCCTTACATTAGCTATCTGACAGTCATCTGGTACAGAGGCTAATTTAAACGATAGGTTAAATTGTTCTGGAATTTCATATTTGAGTTCCTTCAGGACTCATGGATGATACCACCTGTTCCTTGTGGCTTGCTACTGTTTAATTTTGCTCCCCACATAGGTACTTATAGACAGTGATCAAGTCACCCCTTATCCCTCTCTTTGTTAAGCTAAATAGGTTGAACTCCATGAGTCTTTCACTATCAGACATGTTTTCTAATCCTTTCATCATTCTCATTGCTCTTCTCTGAATCCACTCCAATTTATCAACATCCTTTTTGAGTTGAGTGCCAGAACTGGACACAATATTCCAGAAATGGTCACACCATTGGCAAATGCAGAGGTAAAATAAGCTCTCTGCACCTACTCGAGATTCCCCTTATTATGCGTTGAAGGATTGCCTTAGTCCTTTTGGCCACAGCATCAGACTAGGAGTTCATGTTCAGTTGATTATCCATTATGAGCATCCATTATGATCCCCAAATTTTTTTCAGAGTCCCAGGATAGAGTTCCCTGTCTTGTAAGTATGGCCTATATTCCTAGATGTATATATTTACAGTTAGCCATATTAAAAAACTGGATTGCTAGTGCCAGTTTACCAAGCAATCCAGATTTCTCTGTCAGTGAGCTATCCTCTTCACTATTCACCATTCTCCCAATTTTTGTGTCATCAGCTAACTTTATCTGTGAAGATTTTGTTTTCTTCCAGGTCATTAATAAAATAGGGCCAACAACCGATCCCTGTGGAACTCCACTAGAAACATACCCATTAATTGATGATTCCCTGTTTACAGTTACATTTTGAGATCTAATCAGTTAACCATTTTCAAGCCATTTAATATGTGCCATGTTAATTTTATATCTTTCTAGTTTTTTTAATTAAAATGTCATGTAATACCAAATCAAACGCCTTACAGAAGTTTGGGTATATGACATCAACACTATTACCTTTATCAACCAAACTTGTAATCCCATCAGAAAAGTTCACATTAATTTGACTGGATCTGTTTTCCATAAATCATTGTTGATTCATTAACTTCATCACCCTCCTTTAATACTTGAATAATCAAGTCCCATATCCGTCCCTCCATTATCTTGCGTGGGATCAATGTCAGACTGACAAGCCTATAATTACCCAGATCATCCTATTTACCCTTTTTAAAATATTAACACAACATTAGCTTTCTTATAGTCTTCTGGAACTTCCCCATTGTTCAAAGTATTATTGAAAATCAACATTTACAGTCCTGATTGCTCCTCAGACAGCTCTTTTAAAATTCTTGGATGCAAGGTATCTGGACCTGCTGATTTAAAAATGTCTCACTTCAGTATCTACTGTTTAACATCCTCCTGAGAGGCTACTGGAATGGAAAGAGTGTTAAATGATACGACTACTTCTTTCTTTTCTGTATTATTATTGATACTCCTACCATTTCCATTTAATAATGGATCAATTACATTGTTAGGATTCCTTTTGTTCTTGATAAACATTAAAAACTCCTTATTTTCCTTACCTCTGCTGGCCATAGATTTCTCCTTGTCTCTTTGCTTCCTTAATCAATTTTCAACAATTCCTAGCTTCTGAATTATATTCATTACTATTAACTTTCCCTTTCTTTAGTTTGTTATATCTTGTTTCTTTTAGTTTAGTTTTCTAAAGTGCTCCCCTCAGTTTGAATTGAAATACTCTATTGGTGGCTGCTTAATGCTCCTCAATGAGTTTAATAGAACATGAAACAGGAAAAACTATTTGGGGATGGGAAATAAGAAGATGATTTAAAAATATATATTTTTAAATGTTCTAGTAACCAAGGTACTCCCCAGGGAGTAAATCTCAAGAGTTTTGCACAAAAGAACTAACTTAGAGCAGCAGTTAAATGGCTGGTCAGGTAACTGTGGACAATCTGCAGACACTGGGTCATGCCAGGCTGGAACAAAAAGCAGCATTTTAAACATTAAATGGTTCCCATGGCTTCTCCCAGTCTCATCCCTGCCAGGGCCCTGAGCAGCTATTTAGTTTCTTTTTGCATTGAAATGCCTCCGCACGGTGTAATATTACAAAAGGATTAACTGATTTGGACTCAAGTAATTAGGTGCATTCCTTCAGTGGAAACTTAAATGTCATGCAGGGTCTACTGATGCCACCGCCAATCTGGGTAATATTTTAGGGCCTTATCCAAAGTGCACTGCAGTCGCACAGACTCCCATTCAGTGAGCTTTGGCTTTAGGCCTTTAACTTGTGTTTGTTTGTTTTTAAAGACAAAAGCCGGGGGGGGGGGAAGAATTAAAATCACAATCTAACTTTTGTAAAATTTAGAGTCTCTCTGGTAAATTGAGTATATTACTTCTGCTAAACTATCAAGCTTAGTGCATCAGGAAGAGGAAAGACAGCTGTAGGGGAGGGCGGAAGGGCAGGTATCAAGGTGGCTCAAAAGGAAAGAGGTTTTGGTGAAGTATCAGCAAATAAGAAGTGAGTAATAGGAGGGGAAAAAAGTCCTGTCCATTCCCACATACTGTACTATATAGGCTTGAATATACCAACATTGTGCATTTAAAAGTATATGTGTCTGCTTCTCCACCCTCATCAGTGTAAATGAGGAGTGACTTCCTTGAAGTTAGTGGATTTACACTGGTGTCAAACTGGTATAAATGAGTAGAGAGCATATAGGGCCATCTGAGAGGCATGGTGGTATGAATAAGCCATTTGAATGACTTTCCTTTTGCTTAGTGATATCACCAGACTACCTCAGTTGAATATTCACTTTACTATGTACAATTATGTGCACTAAAATATAACCATGTATATGATTATAAATCTGTGCTAAGAACCACCTGTAAGAGAAAACCCTTCTCCCAAGCAAATGCTTACAGGGCTTCAATATACTGTGTAGCCATTAGTTATAAACCCTATCAGGCAACCAATTTTGGTTGGTCTCTTAGGGTAGCCTCTTGCCATAGGTTTCATTATACCTGGTTCTCCATATAGTATAAACTGTTTTAAGTGACCAGCCAAGGGGCTAGCAAAATAGAAGAAAATCCATTGCCTGATAGAGGTAATGCTTATATGAAAGGCAAATGAAAATGTATTGGAAATCCTGGAGCTACTTTCAGTTAGTTTCCAAAAGTAGAAGGCTGCCTATTATAGGTGATCCACAGCACAAGTTTAATTGTACTGTTGTCTTTTCAATATCTTATTTCAGAAACTTGATTTTCATCTCTTGTTTTTTATGACAGATTTTGATAAACCCGATTTTAAGAGAAGCATAGTTTGTCTTGAAGACTTGAGCATTGGCACTGTTCTGACTGGAAAAGTAGAGAATGCTACTCTCTTTGGAGTTTTTGTTGATATTGGTGTTGGTAAGTCAGGATTGATTCCAATTAGGAACATAACAGAAACAAAACTTTCCAAAGCCAAGAAGAGAAGAAGTCTCGGATTGGGCCCTGGAGAAAGAGTGGAAGTTAAAGTACTCAATATTGATATCCCTCGATCAAGGATAACGTTGGACCTTCTTCGTGTTTTATGAGTTGTTCCCCACTGATAAGACTTTTATTTCTTTTTTAAAGGTTAAATGTTGTCACCAAGATTCTAAAGGTTGCAGTTCAAGCATTTACTGAGTATACTGGAAATGAAGGAATTAATCCAACTTTTGAAATCTTCAATTTCACTTTTTAATTCCAGAAGTTTTTCCAGAACTCTCTAAGCTCCCTCCCCTTAACAGTCACTTTAACACCAGCCCTGAAGTGGCTTTCACCCTCTTATTAGGGCACACACCTTCTTTTTGCAGAATAAGTGATATCTCAATGCGCTGCCAGACATATCTCTTACCTGTTTTCTTCTGTGCAAGATTTGCTCTCTCAATCCACATTTGGTCTGTGCTGCTTCAGCAGACTCAGCCATGTTCTTTCATACTGAAAAACACCACTTGAATGGTCTGTTTCCATGCTGTTTTCTTAAGGAGGGCTTAAAAGTAGACTTTGGTAGAAACTAAAATAGAAGCTTAAAAATGGCCTCTGCTTAGACCAAGGAAGAACAGCAACGCATAATGCTAAAATCTGGATATAATGGTAATTGTATTATTGGATCAGAAATGTGCTGTTTGTATTTGAGCTACCGTGTAAAGTTTTTTTTTATTTATTATTGCTCGGGCAATTATCATATTAATTAACACAGTGAGGTACCTCTAATTTGCTCAAAAAGTTGCAAAAGCATTTTTTCTGTACCTGTACATAATAAAAATCTTTCTGACCTATTTTTTTTAGTGTACTGATTACATAAACTATCCGCACAATCCCAGGACAATCCTGTCCCATCCCAACAACCACTGTTTGTGCACCAACAACATTCCACTCTAGGAAGATAATTGTGAGGATGCGCTTGTCAGAACATCATGTCACTTAATTGTAATTGTTTTTTCACTAGCTGAAGCTTCAGATAATATTTTCAGCAGAAGCTATGGGAATAGAGAGTGCTCGGTACTTCATAGAGGTGTTCAGAACCTGGTAGGATCAGGTCAGTCATAGATTCTAAGGCCAGAAGGGACCATTGTGATCTCCTATATAACACAGGCCATAGATCTTCTCCAAAATAATTCCTAGTGCAGATCTTTCAGAAAAACATCCAATCTTGATTTAAAAATTGCCAGTGATGGAGAATCCACCACAGTCCTTGGTACATTGTTCCTTGAAATGTCTACTCAGAAAAAATACATAATGAAAACTAAATGACAATGATAAAGTCTCTGGTTGTCTGATATCAGCTGATCTTAATGAGGTTAGAGATTGGGACCATGATGCAGGAGGGTAATCAATGAGCCATTCATTTAATCTGTACTCTCTTCCCTGTCCCATTTTGATTTTCTGGCTGAAAAAGTCATAATGAATTGGATTTAAGTAGTACAGAGCACATTGCAAACAGTTTTGTTTGATGGAAATGGACTCCTAAATGAACTGGGATGACTGCCAAGGCAATCTGTTCCACAGAAAGGGAGGTATTAATTACCTCCCACTCTTCATATATAGGATGGTGCTTCAGATTAAGGTTGAGGTCATGATTAGCTGTATGGTGTGAAAAAACTAACTTTGAGGCTATCAGCACTGTAGATTAATAAAGGACCTGGTTTTACTGGTCATTCATTCTTTCACAATGAATGGAAACTTGCACCTGAAAACATAAAATTAGTTTAAAAAACCCCCACAACACACATCCATTGAAAAAGAGGACAGATGAGTTCTTTGTAATATGCAAAGCAATAAATCATTGATCTGAATTAGGGCTGTTAATTAATCGTAGTTAACTCATGCGATTAACTAAAAAAAATTAATCGCGATTAATTGCACTTATAACAATAGAATACCAATTGAAATTTATTAATTATTTTTGGATGTTTTTCTATATTTTCAATATTGATTTCAGTTACAACACAGAATACAAAGTGCACAGTGCCCACTTTATATTATTAGTTTTTATTATAAAAAATTATAAAAGAAAAAGTAATGATAAACAAAAGAAATAGTATTTTTCAATTCACCTCATACAAGTACTGAAGTGCAATCTCTTTATCATGAAAGTGTAACTTACAAAGGCAGATTTTTTTTGGTTACATAATTGCACTCAAAAACAAAACAGTGTAAAACTTCAGAGCCTACAAGTCCACTCAGTCCTACTTCTTATTCTGTCAATCACTAAGACAAACAAGTTTGTTTACATTGAAAGGAGATACTGCTGCCTGCTTCTTATTTACAGTGTCACCTGACAGTGAGAACAGGTGTTTGCATGGCACTTTTGTAGCTGGCGTTGCAAGGTATTTACATGCCAGATATGCTAAACATCCGTATGGCCCTTCATGCTTCGGCCACCATTCCAGAGGACATGCTTCCATGCTTATGATGTTCGTCAGTAAAATTTGTGACTGTACTCCTTGGAGGGAGAATTGTATGCCTCCTGCTCTGTTTTACCCGCATTCTGCATATACTTCATGTTATAGCAGTCTCGGATGATGACGCAGCACATGTTTGTTTTAAGAACACTTTCACTGCAGATTTGACAAAACGCAAAGAAGGTACCGATGTGAGATTGCTAAAAATAGCTACACCACTCAACCCAAGGTTTAAGAATCTGAAGTGCCTTCCAAAATCTGAGAGGGATGAGGTATGGAGCATGTTTTTAGAAGTCTTAAAAGAGCAACACTCTGATGCTTAAACTACAAAAAAGAAAAAAAGAAAATGAACTTTCTGCTGGTGGCATCTGACTCACATGATGAAAATGAACATTAGTCAGTCTGCACTGCTTTGGATCATTATCAAGAAGAACCCATCATCAGCATGGAAGCATGTCCTCTGAAATGGTGGTTGAAGCATGAAGGGACATGTGAATCTTTAGTGCATCCGGCATGTAAATATCTTGCAACGCCAGCTACAACAGTGCCATGCGAATGCCTGTTCTCACTTTCAGGTGACATTGTAATCAAGAAGCAGGGAGCATTATCTCTTGCAAATTGTAACCAAACTTGTTTGTCTGAGTGATTGGCTGACCAAGAAGTAGGGCTGAGTGGACTTGTAGGCTCTAAAATTTTACATTGTTTTATTTTTGAATGCTGTTTTTTTTTTTTACATAATTCTATATTTGTAAGTTCAACTTTCATGGTAAAGAGATTGCACTACAGTACTTGTATGAGGTGAATTGAAAAATACAATTTTTTTGTTTTTTAAAGTGCAAATATTTGTAATCAAAAATAAATATTAAAATAAGCACTGTACACTTTGTATTCTGTGTTGTAATTGAAATTAATATATTTGAAAATGTAATAAACATCCAAAAATATTTAAAATAAATGGTATTCTATTGTTTAACAGCGCAATTAATCGTGATTAATTTTTTTAATCTCTTGACAGCCTTAATCTAAATGTTACAAAACTGTGTACAGAAAGTTTCCCAAGTACTAATAATGATTGGCATCAAATTCAGTAAAATCTAATAGTCTGAAATGACTCCCCAAGAAAGACAAAGAGCTCTGTGACTCACATTTAGAAAGACTGCTATTTAAGGAATTGAGCAAAAAAATTAACCCTAGAGATTTATGGATGTATACCACCCTTGTCAGGAGCAGGAGAGTAAAAAATATCTAGATAGTTCAGTGAAAGTTTGTTACGTAAGTGTTAGTTCTTATCCCAAACTGTTGTATGGATCACTGAATACAATCTAATACTGTCAGACACCTAGGGCCCCTCCCTTAGAAATGTCTTGTTCAATTCCTATACTTTATGAGATAAAACTTTGTAAAACAAGTTGTTTGTAATAAAATGCAGAGATTCCATTTTTGTAGGTGCATCTTACTATTACAAAGGCTAGAGAAAATGAATTAATGAAAGCTAGTTCATGTTCCAGTGGATTCATTTGAAGATGAAAAGAAGCGTTGGATATAGAGAGAGGCTGGGGACACGTATGTGTACCTGATGGTATGGGCCCCTTTTGAGGGCCTTTTTGGTGGGGATAGCTCAGTGGTTTGAGCATTGGCCTGCTAAACCCAGGGTTGTGAGTTCAATGCTTGAGGGGGCCATTATAGGGATCTGAGGCAAAAATCTGTCTGGGGATTGGTCCTGCTTTGAGCAGGGGGTTGGACTAGATGACCTCCTGAAATCCCTTCCAACCCTGATATTCTATGATTCTATGATATGCATATGTACATGATCTGATTTTTAAATATATTTCTAATCAATCTTGCAAAATATTCATGACAATTTACCAGCCCAGGCACTCTATATTTACCCACATTTGCCATGACTAGAAAACAAACACTTTTAACTTGTCCAAAAAAACATTACTTGCTACATGCATGTGAGTGAATAGAATAGTGCAAGGTTCGGATAACCTAACCCTTCTGTCTTTCTAAATGGATGTTTTCCACTGTAGAGTGGCATGCCACGGTGGGGCAGTATTCAAAGGTGACTGGATAAATATTTTTGGAATCTGTTCTTCCAGGGAAAAAAAACTAGGGTTGTCTACAAGGCTGAACCTGTCCATGGATGTACACAAGCAGAGAATAACAGAGAGAAACCTTAATGTGGTGTGAGTATGCGATGGCCACACTGCTTAAAGGTGAATAGTTATGCAGGTCATCTCAAGTTGGCATGCAGGGCAATGGGATAACAGAGTTAATGTTGTGATGTTTTTAATCTATGGAAAAACTGTTATGATTCAGGGCATAATTTTGCTCACCTTGGGTCTCTTGGTGGTGTCATGAGGGTGGTGGAGTCCATGTCTTGTGGTGGGAAGAAGGATGAAAATGTTCTCTGATAGGTTGAATTAACTGGGGGAAAGAGAGACTGAGACTTCTTGGAGGATTAGAATTCCAGGGTAAGTCCTAAGAAAATGAGTTAGTGAGCAGAAAAGCAGGTAAGTTGGTCAGAAGAGTGTGATAAACTGCAGTCATGTGATATACTTGTCACATAGATATCATCTCCACTGATTTTTTCCTGAGCGTGTATACTTATATGTGCACACCCCCACAAAAATGCATGTTGACTTTGGGTGGAGGTTGCTAGACTACATATACCACCAATGCAAACCAAGGAAATACACAAAGTCATTCATCATACATGTAAACTCCTTTCATCAGTTCTGATCAGACCCAAATACCTCCCTGTCACAGCTCACATATTTTGACACTCCTCTTCAGCAAATAACATGGACAGTTCTACAGGCTAATGTGTCTCACACCCCTTTGAGTTAAGCATTCATTTTTCCAGTTCTCTCTAAAACCCTCCTTTCTGTCTGATCTTGAATTGGTGCCTTTTCTTCACTACTGATTTGCCTTCACAAACCAAGTCTACAAAGCCAAGCTGCCTGTAAAGATTTTCTGGATTTCTGTTTTAATACAGAATGTATTATTGCAAGTGTAAGGACCTGACATTTCTTTCCTTCACCAAAGTTCAAATTACAAATGTCAAAAGTTATCACCAAGTGTGAAACAATACGTGATGCACAAGTCTTCGTATTAGTGAAGGAAGAGGATATCAAGAGATGGCACTTATGTTATATAGTCTTTCCATGTCTGTCTGTCTTGGATACCTCTCCCTTTGAAGTGGGCTTGTAAGTGGGCAAAACTCCCATCTTAACGGATGATCACAAATGTGAATGGGCAACAGTCATGTAATGAACATCAAACATCTTTGTTAATGGCGAGATTCCTAACCACAAATGTCCAAACAGCTGTTGGCACAGAGATTATGAACTAGTTAAGAGAATGTGGCA